CTGGGTGTATACTATAGTAGATTTGGAGTTAGATAAGAGAGTGCATTAAAAGGGTGACTTTGTATTTCTTGTTGTAGAATTCAATCTATATAGTGGAATCCTTTCAATCTCAAGTTGATTGAAAGAAGACTGGATGTAGGCAGTTGAGGTCGAACCAGTATAAATTTTGGTGTTGATTTTTTTATCCTTTCACTTTTACATTTCCTTACATTCTTTATTTGCTTGCATTTCAAGAAAGATTCAAAGATTTTGAAAATAGTTTTAAAAGAACAATTTTTATAAAGCAAAACCAATTCACCCCTCTTGATACATAAATTTGGTCTACTATTCTCTACAAGAAGGATGAGGAATATATGTACATACCTATTCTCGTTTTCATACCCAATTTAAAAAATAGGATATTATCCATATCCATACTTATACCTTGTCAATGTTTGGAATTTTGAACAAAACAAAAAAAGTTCGGATAACACTCACATATTAAGTTGCAAGTTAATTGAGACAAAAAAAGGACAATATCAAATTGCAAACCACCATCTTAAATCACATTGTCCTCCTTCTTAATGGTGACATCTTTCCCATTCAGCCAACAATTCCATGGTTATATTTGTAATATTATCAACCTATCACATGAGGTACGATTCAAGAAATGTTATTTTAACCATAAATAAAGACTATCCTTAGTTTTGAAAACATTCAAAATTGCAATAAGTTGTTGTAATTATGCGAAAGTGATATCAATATTCCTATTAGCTCACATCAGTTTGATAGTATTGAAATTTTTAGGAGTTTTGAAAATATAAGAGACATAAGTCATGTTATATGGAGGAGTTGGTTATTTTATTTTATTCATGTTTTAGAGCAAAATGTGATAAAGTATAAATTTTTATAATCTTTAATAATATTTCAATAAAAAGTGCAAGATTATTTATAATATCTCAAGTATAATCAAGATTAAACTACATATATTTATTTCTTGAGGTTATTTAAAGGTGTGAAATAAAAGACAAAAATATTTTAAAAAATAATTGTAGGTGTTACATACGTTGAGTGACATCGATAAAGTTAATCATACACATAAAATATGTAAATCTATCATGAAAAAAGAAAGAACTGTTTAAGTTATAATTGATCTCGATTCCTAACTCATGAAACTATTACTGAGTGTGACAATAACAACAATAAAGAAGAGAAAGAAGATAAGAACAAAAAGTGGAATTTTTGAACCAAATTTGCATTAAAAAGGAAGTAAGAGGTAATTTTACGAGTTAAAAAAGGAATTTATATGATAAGTATTCAATTTTAACGATGATTTCACACGTATACATAGCGTGGGTGGATAAACGATTAAGGAAGGCCTGCTGGTGTGCTTTTTGCAAACTATGAGTCAATACAATTTTTCAACTGTGATAAATTCTATAAATAATTCAAGCAAACGTGTTCGTTCCTAGTTTTGCTGAACCCAAAACTGTTAACAAACACTCACCAAAAATAGAAAAACTTCCCACCCATTCTAGCAGATAATATACTATTACTTGTTCAAAAGAGGAAGATTCAGTCATAGGGATTTTTCCTTTAACAATTCTTTGAGCAATTTTTTCTCGTGTTTATAGTATTTTATTTCATCAAGATCACACCGTTTATGAAAGATATATATTTAATTTTATTGAATAATAAAAAATTTTAAAATCCATACTTTTTAATATAAATTTATTTATATAGTTGTATTATAATTAAATGAGTTAAATATGTTTTTAGTCCCTAAATTATCACGCGATTTTGGTTTTCGTCTCTCTTCGAAAAGTTTGTTCATTTTAGTCCTCTTAGTTTTGAAACTCTTATGTTTAGTCCTTAAAAACCAACGGCGTTGTGAGGTGGCAAACGGCGAGCCACGTGTGATGCCACCTTCCCTTATCACTTTTAATTGACGTGGCAGTAAAGGTCTGGTGGTCAGTCGGCCTGATGGGTGGTCAGCCATAAAAACCTGATGGTCGGTCTGGTGGTGCCTGAACGAATGTCATTGTTTGTGCTTTATTGATTTCATTTTTATGCAGCTTGTTTTATACAGCTTGACTTCGTTTCTAAATACCGTGCGGTCTGATTACACTACCAGGCCGACCACATGCCAAGCCTAACACCAGGCCGACCACCAAGCCGACCACGCACCAGGTCGACCGACCACCAGACCGAGTGGCCGACCACCAGACCGAGTGGCCGACCACCCACCAGGCCGACCGACCACCAGACCAAGTGGTCGGCCATCGGCCGATCGACCACCAGACCTCTACCGTCACGTCAATTAAAAGTAGTCAGTGAAATTGACATCACACGTGGCTCGCCGTTTGCCACCTCACAGAAAACTTAACGTCGTTGCTTTTTAAGAACTAAAAATAAAAGTTTCCAAACTAAGAGGATTTAAATGAAGAAACCTTTCAAAGAGAAACGAAAACCAAAATCACGTAATAATTTAAGAACTAAAAACATATTTAATTCTAATTAAATTTTAGATAAAAGTTTATTCTTTTCTTGTCAGGGTTCATGCTTCTAGAGCAACAATTTTCGTCGGTGGAAGTCTTATGAAATCCAGGAAAAGTGAATATTGGACCCCATTCTTAATCAAACATATCCTACGGATAACGATTGAACAAACAGTCACGAAAATGGATAAAGGTACGACCAAATTCCTAATCAAGATAATAAATGGTCAACCAGTATTTATCATTAGTAGAGGTATTTTATACATTGTTTGCTTATACGCGTATGGTGACTGACTGACCTATGTTTTTATTTCTGCTAATTCTCGTTCGTGTACGAGGAATAAGGATTTTAGAGATAAGATTTGGTAGTTGAGTGGATTAAAAGGGAAAGACAGGACATTATTGACTCAATTACCCTTTGTGATTAACGATTCTGAGCAAAGAGGGAATCAATTAATATGACGTGGAGAAATGCAATTTTGTAAGGGAAGACTGTTGAGGAGGAGAATAATCTATTCTAATTAAGAGGAATGGATTCTAAATTGAATAAAATAAGTAGAGAATCAATTTTGAATCAATCCTACGTCTATAATAAAATTATTATTGTTAATATTATAAGCATAAATAAAATAATTTTTGTAATTTTATATTATATATAGTTTTTGTTTATTTTAATAATAAAATTATTAAGTTTAAAAAAATGGTAAAATGAAAAAAACAATGATAAATTTAAATAGATTATGTTTCCATCCATTTTAACATTATATTTATCAACCAATTTATCGACGAATTAAAAAAAAGTAATTATTGATATAGTCAAAAATTGAATTATTAAAAGAATTTATCATTAATTACGAACATATTTATTGATAAATTTAGAAAAAATTCATTATCAATCAATTTTAAAAAAATTCAATTACACATAAATTTATTAACAAATTTTATCACGATATAATTAAAACTCAAAACGAAAGCTTTAATGTCAATTTTACCAATGATTTTTTTTTGAAAAAATATCTCTTAATAATAAATATAACAAATTCATTACCAAAGGATATTATAATAATATAAATTTTAGTTTACCAATGAATATTTCGATTCTATTATCATTTGGTCAATCCATAATTAACATTTTATAATTCATATATAAAATTTGTTAATAAAATCTGTTTTATCGTTTTGTTTTTCACTAATAGTTTAACATTTTTTCGTAATTGAAAATAATATAAATTGGATTGTTATTTATCTTTTACTGTGTTGGTTAGTTGTATTTAGACCTTAGGTCTTATATTTTTACTTGACAGACCTTTCAGAAAATAATCTAACCACATTTTTGGAACACAAGTTGGGTTAGGTCAAACCTTAGAATTTTTCAGGCTCTTCATCGTATTTTCAATTCTAGTACTAATCTTATCATGTGAAAAAAAATAGCAGTACACAATTTATTTTAAATACGGACTATGTTTTTTAACAAATTTGAAAAGTGTCATAATATTCTACAGATACTTAATACTGAAAAGAAATCACTAATATTATATGTTCAAAATTTTGAAACAGCTTTGTTTTACCACTTTTTTTATATTTTTCTTTCAAAATTCTTTATAAATTATCTTAACATTTTTTATAATTTTTTTACGCAAATTAGTTTTGACATATTGAGTGAATTTTTTGTAATAAAATATTTAAAATGAATTCATTATATTCATTATAATAAAATAATATATTATTAGAAATAACGAGTTTAAATCATTATTATAAAAAGGTGTTATTCATTAAAATGAATTCAATTATTAGTAGCAAAATGGTTATTTGTTTATAAAATTAATAAGTTACTTGTGCATCTACTCCTTAAAATATAATGAATTTGATTTTAATATAGTTTAATAGTTTCTGAATGAAAACTTCCTAATAAAAGTCTAGCTTTGGAGGGCGAGGACTAAGTATGTTAAAAGTTGCAGCAAATAGCATGTTACAGAAAACAGCCAAAGTTTTACGTAAGACGAATTTGTTGACCACGACACTTTCTCCGTTAAATTTTTCACTCACAGCTTTCAAAAGTTCTTAGAAGATAATATACTATATTTAGCCAATTTGGTATAATTACTTTAACAACGGTTTTGAGTTTAATCTAAGTATATAATCCTAATAAAATTTTAGAAAAAAAAAAACTACTTTGCTGTCATTATATATAATTGATTATATATATAGAAACTTGAGTGAATGTGTAATTTAAACAAAACGTTACTTTTTTAACGAAAATACATATGTAATATGATGCAAAAAGAGCTAATGGTACAACGCTAATTATCTTATTCTTTACTAAGTGTGATGATAATGATATACGTGTTTCCGACCGTGCTCACGATTATCATGTTAGTTTACGTGTGATAGTAAAGTTTATCAAAATCCTTGCCGAGTTGGTAATCTTTTCTGACCAATGACCACGACCATATATATTATACCCTTAAAAAAACATCGCTGTCTGATTTAATATTCTTTTAGGATGGAAATAGCAAGACATATTTAGATATTTTTAGAAAGGATATGACAGTAGATAAAGGTTTTCTTCTATAAAAGGAACGCATTTGGTGAGAAAAATTAGATACAAATAACCAAAAATGGCATACAAAGAATACTCAGTGCTACCTCTCATTGCTCTACTTTTCTCATTGATTACTGTCACAGAAAGCGTAGCCCTTACTCCACAAATAGATTTGTTGAATCGAAACAGTTTCCCAACAGGCTTCATCTTTGGTACAGCATCCTCAGCGTACCAGGTACACTAATACAACAAAATGATTATGTTTTTATCAATGTTCCATGATANCATAGCGTGGGTGGATAAACGATTAAGGAAGGCCTGCTGGTGTGCTTTTTGCAAACTATGAGTCAATACAATTTTTCAACTGTGATAAATTCTATAAATAATTCAAGCAAACGTGTTCGTTCCTAGTTTTGCTGAACCCAAAACTGTTAACAAACACTCACCAAAAATAGAAAAACTTCCCACCCATTCTAGCAGATAATATACTATTACTTGTTCAAAAGAGGAAGATTCAGTCATAGGGATTTTTCCTTTAACAATTCTTTGAGCAATTTTTTCTCGTGTTTATAGTATTTTATTTCATCAAGATCACACCGTTTATGAAAGATATATATTTAATTTTATTGAATAATAAAAAATTTTAAAATCCATACTTTTTAATATAAATTTATTTATATAGTTGTATTATAATTAAATGAGTTAAATATGTTTTTAGTCCCTAAATTATCACGCGATTTTGGTTTTCGTCTCTCTTCGAAAAGTTTGTTCATTTTAGTCCTCTTAGTTTTGAAACTCTTATGTTTAGTCCTTAAAAACCAACGGCGTTGTGAGGTGGCAAACGGCGAGCCACGTGTGATGCCACCTTCCCTTATCACTTTTAATTGACGTGGCAGTAAAGGTCTGGTGGTCAGTCGGCCTGATGGGTGGTCAGCCATAAAAACCTGATGGTCGGTCTGGTGGTGCCTGAACGAATGTCATTGTTTGTGCTTTATTGATTTCATTTTTATGCAGCTTGTTTTATACAGCTTGACTTCGTTTCTAAATACCGTGCGGTCTGATTACACTACCAGGCCGACCACATGCCAAGCCTAACACCAGGCCGACCACCAAGCCGACCACGCACCAGGTCGACCGACCACCAGACCGAGTGGCCGACCACCAGACCGAGTGGCCGACCACCCACCAGGCCGACCGACCACCAGACCAAGTGGTCGGCCATCGGCCGATCGACCACCAGACCTCTACCGTCACGTCAATTAAAAGTAGTCAGTGAAATTGACATCACACGTGGCTCGCCGTTTGCCACCTCACAGAAAACTTAACGTCGTTGCTTTTTAAGAACTAAAAATAAAAGTTTCCAAACTAAGAGGATTTAAATGAAGAAACCTTTCAAAGAGAAACGAAAACCAAAATCACGTAATAATTTAAGAACTAAAAACATATTTAATTCTAATTAAATTTTAGATAAAAGTTTATTCTTTTCTTGTCAGGGTTCATGCTTCTAGAGCAACAATTTTCGTCGGTGGAAGTCTTATGAAATCCAGGAAAAGTGAATATTGGACCCCATTCTTAATCAAACATATCCTACGGATAACGATTGAACAAACAGTCACGAAAATGGATAAAGGTACGACCAAATTCCTAATCAAGATAATAAATGGTCAACCAGTATTTATCATTAGTAGAGGTATTTTATACATTGTTTGCTTATACGCGTATGGTGACTGACTGACCTATGTTTTTATTTCTGCTAATTCTCGTTCGTGTACGAGGAATAAGGATTTTAGAGATAAGATTTGGTAGTTGAGTGGATTAAAAGGGAAAGACAGGACATTATTGACTCAATTACCCTTTGTGATTAACGATTCTGAGCAAAGAGGGAATCAATTAATATGACGTGGAGAAATGCAATTTTGTAAGGGAAGACTGTTGAGGAGGAGAATAATCTATTCTAATTAAGAGGAATGGATTCTAAATTGAATAAAATAAGTAGAGAATCAATTTTGAATCAATCCTACGTCTATAATAAAATTATTATTGTTAATATTATAAGCATAAATAAAATAATTTTTGTAATTTTATATTATATATAGTTTTTGTTTATTTTAATAATAAAATTATTAAGTTTAAAAAAATGGTAAAATGAAAAAAACAATGATAAATTTAAATAGATTATGTTTCCATCCATTTTAACATTATATTTATCAACCAATTTATCGACGAATTAAAAAAAAGTAATTATTGATATAGTCAAAAATTGAATTATTAAAAGAATTTATCATTAATTACGAACATATTTATTGATAAATTTAGAAAAAATTCATTATCAATCAATTTTAAAAAAATTCAATTACACATAAATTTATTAACAAATTTTATCACGATATAATTAAAACTCAAAACGAAAGCTTTAATGTCAATTTTACCAATGATTTTTTTTTGAAAAAATATCTCTTAATAATAAATATAACAAATTCATTACCAAAGGATATTATAATAATATAAATTTTAGTTTACCAATGAATATTTCGATTCTATTATCATTTGGTCAATCCATAATTAACATTTTATAATTCATATATAAAATTTGTTAATAAAATCTGTTTTATCGTTTTGTTTTTCACTAATAGTTTAACATTTTTTCGTAATTGAAAATAATATAAATTGGATTGTTATTTATCTTTTACTGTGTTGGTTAGTTGTATTTAGACCTTAGGTCTTATATTTTTACTTGACAGACCTTTCAGAAAATAATCTAACCACATTTTTGGAACACAAGTTGGGTTAGGTCAAACCTTAGAATTTTTCAGGCTCTTCATCGTATTTTCAATTCTAGTACTAATCTTATCATGTGAAAAAAAATAGCAGTACACAATTTATTTTAAATACGGACTATGTTTTTTAACAAATTTGAAAAGTGTCATAATATTCTACAGATACTTAATACTGAAAAGAAATCACTAATATTATATGTTCAAAATTTTGAAACAGCTTTGTTTTACCACTTTTTTTATATTTTTCTTTCAAAATTCTTTATAAATTATCTTAACATTTTTTATAATTTTTTTACGCAAATTAGTTTTGACATATTGAGTGAATTTTTTGTAATAAAATATTTAAAATGAATTCATTATATTCATTATAATAAAATAATATATTATTAGAAATAACGAGTTTAAATCATTATTATAAAAAGGTGTTATTCATTAAAATGAATTCAATTATTAGTAGCAAAATGGTTATTTGTTTATAAAATTAATAAGTTACTTGTGCATCTACTCCTTAAAATATAATGAATTTGATTTTAATATAGTTTAATAGTTTCTGAATGAAAACTTCCTAATAAAAGTCTAGCTTTGGAGGGCGAGGACTAAGTATGTTAAAAGTTGCAGCAAATAGCATGTTACAGAAAACAGCCAAAGTTTTACGTAAGACGAATTTGTTGACCACGACACTTTCTCCGTTAAATTTTTCACTCACAGCTTTCAAAAGTTCTTAGAAGATAATATACTATATTTAGCCAATTTGGTATAATTACTTTAACAACGGTTTTGAGTTTAATCTAAGTATATAATCCTAATAAAATTTTAGAAAAAAAAAAACTACTTTGCTGTCATTATATATAATTGATTATATATATAGAAACTTGAGTGAATGTGTAATTTAAACAAAACGTTACTTTTTTAACGAAAATACATATGTAATATGATGCAAAAAGAGCTAATGGTACAACGCTAATTATCTTATTCTTTACTAAGTGTGATGATAATGATATACGTGTTTCCGACCGTGCTCACGATTATCATGTTAGTTTACGTGTGATAGTAAAGTTTATCAAAATCCTTGCCGAGTTGGTAATCTTTTCTGACCAATGACCACGACCATATATATTATACCCTTAAAAAAACATCGCTGTCTGATTTAATATTCTTTTAGGATGGAAATAGCAAGACATATTTAGATATTTTTAGAAAGGATATGACAGTAGATAAAGGTTTTCTTCTATAAAAGGAACGCATTTGGTGAGAAAAATTAGATACAAATAACCAAAAATGGCATACAAAGAATACTCAGTGCTACCTCTCATTGCTCTACTTTTCTCATTGATTACTGTCACAGAAAGCGTAGCCCTTACTCCACAAATAGATTTGTTGAATCGAAACAGTTTCCCAACAGGCTTCATCTTTGGTACAGCATCCTCAGCGTACCAGGTACACTAATACAACAAAATGATTATGTTTTTATCAATGTTCCATGATACAAGTTAAAATGTTTTAGTTCTTTCTATCAGCTTTATATTATGGTTTTCGGTTCACATGATTATGTATGTATGCAGTATGAAGGTGCAGCCAATGAGGGTGGTAGAGGACCAAGCATTTGGGATACCTTCACTCACAAATATCCTGGTAAGTATTTATATATGTGTGATTTTCTTATTGTTGCACCGGAGATCTTTCCCAAAATTTATACAAGTTTTTATATATGGAAATTAACATGCAGAAAAGATAGAGGACAGAAGCAGTGGAGATGTTGCAGTTGATTCGTATCATCGCTACAAGGTATATATTGCCGATTCAATGTTTTTGTTTCTTTTGATGTGATTTATCCACAGTCATCACTAATGAAAAGTAGCGCTGAAAGCTTATCAGATATTTACATCATAGAATATAAAATAAAGTGTTGCTTTTTTAAACATTTAAAAAATTTAAAGAATTGTTGTTTTATTTTGTTTTCCATCGTTTTGAAATAAACATGTTTTGTTACATCTTATATTTCAGGAAGATGTTCAGATTATGAAGGATATGAATTTGGATGCTTACAGATTTTCCATATCTTGGTCAAGAATTCTTCCGAGTAAGTCAAATATAGATCAATGATTAATTTGGACTAAACTTTACTTGTTTGGGTGTTTCATTACAGCGATTTATTTATCTACATAAACTGCATATATTTTCACAGATGGAAAGCTGAGTGGAGGTATAAACCAAGAAGGAATTGACTATTACAATAACCTTATCAATGAGCTACTGGCAAAAGGTCAGAATAAAAACTCTATTATGGATTTTTTTGTTATGCTTTACATATAGCAACTTCTTGTGTTATTGATGATAATAACACATTAATACTAATCATCGTGTATAATAAAATAATTTCAGGTTTGGAACCATTTGTAACTCTTTTTCATTGGGATCTTCCACAAGCATTAGAAGATGAATACGGTGGCTTCTTAAGTCCTCGAATTGTGTAAGTTTTGCAATTCAATTAACATTTTCACTTGAATGCTTAGCTAAAATGGTTTGGGAAGCTTTCTAAAAATCACATATATTTTAATACAGGAAAGATTTCCAGGACTATGCAGATCTTTGCTTCAGGGAATTCGGTGATAGAGTGAAAAAGTGGATAACTTTGAATGAGCCATGGACTTACAGCAACAGGGGTTATGCATTAGGGACAAAGGCCCCTGGTCGATGTTCATCTTGGTGGAGTCCTAAATGCAATGGTGGTGATTCAGGAACAGAACCCTATTTGGCTACACATCACCAACTTCTTGCTCATGCAGCTGCTGTTAATGTCTACAAGACTAAGTATCAGGTAAGCTCTTATTAAATTTCAACCTCCTACTTCCTATGTTTATTACAGTGTAACATGTTTTTTAATATATTAAACGAAAAAACTATGGATGCAGAGATTTCAGAATGGTGTAATAGGCATAACACTGTATTCTACTTGGTACGAACCACTCTCAGATAGCAAACTAGATCGAAAGGCCGCTGAACGAGCTATGGACTTTTTGTTTGGATGGTAAGTACTTCCATCAATATGTTCATGCACAACTTAAACTTAAACATTACTTAATTAATTAGAGTGGTATGCTATAACAAAACTATTATCTATAAGAAAGACATGACTATGTAAAAATCATGTAATGCTTTATTTATTGCAGGTTTATGGATCCACTTACAAGAGGAGATTATCCAGAAAGCATGCGTTCCTTGGTGAAATCACGATTACCAAAGTTTACAAAAGAGCAATCCAAATTGCTCATTAATTCATTTGATTTTCTTGGCATAAACTACTACACTGCCAATTTTGTCTCTGATGCTCCAGAATTAAGAAATGTCAGAGGCAGTTATATGACAGATCCCCTCGTAAATTATTCAGGTAAGAAGGCTTCTTTATTAACTTATGTATATATATATATATATATATATATATATATATATATATAT